TAGGGAAAGGGTTAAAACATTCAGAATTTGTATCTAGAAGTTTGTGTCCATCTGATGTGACTGCAGTTAGCCTTGCTTTGAGCCGGAGTTGGACCAGAAGATCTGTAAAAATCCCTTCTGACATAAATAATGCTACGAATATCTGGAAATAAGTGGCTGCAACTGAACTGTTACTGAGAGTTAACACATTTGCTAGTGCTTTGTAGGAAAATCTGTGTTGTAGTCTGCTCACCGATGGTTCTTCTAAGTCTACCCTGTTAGGTGGAGTGATGGAAGGCTTGTTACCTGATTAACATAGACTTTTCTTTAGTTTCTTGAATTCTCATTGATTTTTAGGGCAAACTGAAACATGAGTGATACAGATGAATCCAAGGCTTCTGGCTCTGATTACCCTGGTGCCCAAGAGCTGATCCGCAGCCGGCAGAAAGAACGGGTTAAGGTCTGTGCGCATGAAGCAACTGCACAAAGGGAGCGTTTACATTCAAGGCAGAAGAAAGCTGCTCCTGAGCTTAACAGAGTATGTAAATCTTCAGCTGAGGTGTTACTGGACAGCAGTGATGCAGAAATGTGAGTTTTTCGCGAGTTGGGAATTTTCCATATGAAGAATCTGTCATACCTCATAAAAGCATACATTCTCTTGGAAGTAAATATTTTTTTTTCTTCTTCAGTGAGCTCTCTGCTGCTAGTGGCAGTGAGTACCATCCGAAGTGCTCCATCACACCTTCAAAGGAAAAAGAGGGATCTCAGTCTTCCAAGCAACAAGCTGAATCTGTTTCAGGAGTGCCTGACAAGGAAAGCTCTTCCAATTCTTCTCTGTCCCCTCAGAGTCCAGTGAAATCATCTGATACTTCCCAGAAACAGAAGTCAAGGTTCAATTTGAAAGCCATTTTAGCCTATCACTTCAGGGGAAAGAAGTTCAAGGCTGCAGCACACCAAAAATACAAGGATAGATCAGGCAGGAGGAAGAGAAAGTATCAGCGCACCCAGACACCTCTGAGGAAGCCACTCCCAACAGCCTCACCTCAAGAGAAAAAGAGGCGGCTTCTGGACAGAGGTTTTCAGTTCCCTTTTGTTGAAAAGCATTATGGGCAGAAACATATTCCCTTAAAGATGGTTCTTGGCTATGAGGTGAGCCCTTTGTTTTGTGGGGTACGTGTACTTTTTTAGTCTGAATATAGTGCAGTTAAACTGGTGATGTTGTGCTTCTACCTGATGTGCTGCAGTAAAACAGTGAGACAGTTGTTACTGCTGTTAAACAGGACACTGGAGATTGTCAGCTTAATACCTTTTCAGACAAACACAGCTAGGATGTGGGTGTTGGTGTAATACTGCATGTCCGTTCAGAATCTTTAATGGTATTTTAGTGGTATTTTTAAGATCTCACCTGATGCATTTTTCTTTAGCAAGCAGCTGCAAAGGGATATTTCCAGTACATTGAAGTGCTTAAATACGAGGAACATCTCAAAAAAGCTTTAAAAGCCCTTCAGGCTAGCGAAGACTTAGAAAGAGAATGTATGGTGGTGCGGAAACACAAATATTTAGATGACGAAGGCCCCATTTCCCCTATCCAGGAGACAATGTAAGTTCGTTTTTATATTTTCAGGTGGTGTAAACTTGCTTTTTCTGTTTTTAACTAAAATACGAGTTTGAGTGTATGCAGGTGGATGCATGACACCCCACCCCACTCCCCCAGCTCTTGGTCATCCCCAGCCCGTTTGCAGGCACGGGGAGGGCATCCACACGGCTTCAGTCACAGATGCAGAGCGCAGCACCGTGGCTGCTGTACGGAAGGCTCACTCCACCCCAGCCCTGCCTGTGCGGTCTGCCGCCCTTACGCTGGGGAGCTGGGGCAGTTGCTGGTAGTAGCATGCAGTTTTGTGACAGAGTTGTGGGAGTGTCAAGTTCAGTTCCTCTGCTGTCTCTTCAGGGACAAGGTTGTGTAATCTAACAATATCTGCTTATGAAAGCACTGCTTATTTTGGGAACAAAGCACTGCCACTTGGGGTTCTGTGCTTGGGAACTGGCTCGGAGTGTTTTGCAGAATGAGATATTTCTAACATGAAGATGGATGATTGTTTCAAGTGGTGATTTGTGCTGTCTCATTAAAATGACATGATAGTAATGCTTTTAAAAACAGGTATTTCCTGAAACCAGATCCTGTGTAGTTACCCCAGATAAAGAGGTGGAGTGTTTTATGGCAAAGAGTAAAGGATATTTTTTAATTTGGTGAGTTAGCTTAAATGCAGTGAAGGGATCAGCAAGAATAATAAATGTTGTAAATATACTTGGCACCTTTAAACTAGAAAGCCTAAAATACAGTGTGAAGGTACAAAGCTGCCTTTCAGCTGTTGTTCATTTACACAGCTGATTTATGCATGTTGAAGTATTGGAGTGAGCCTGTAAAACATGTAACAATTAGTTTGCTCTCCTACAGAGGAGCAGAAGAAAGAAAACTCTGTAGAAGGAACGTAAGCCAGCTCATCCAGACACTAAATTATTTACAGAGTACTGGACTTTGCGAGGTTTTGGAACCAGTCCTCCCAGTGCCATTTGTTGAAACCATAGTACTGAAACCTAAATCTCTCAGTACTGCTACTCGTGTCTACTAAATCTTTGTTCTGCTTCTAAGCACTCCTTCCACCCTGCCAGTGTTGCTAGCTGGGATGTCATTTTGCTGTCAAACTAGAACTGCATGTAGAAGTAGTGTTATCTTAGACCTACAGCTGTAGCACTTACGTAAACATTAGGAGAAACCAGGGGCTGTAGTAGGAAAAGTAATTTACACATTTGAGGCTACTATAAAAGTACATAGCTTGACTGGAATTTCTGTATTTCAGTGATAATGATAACTTGAATTCTGATAATCAAGAAGACCTTGATGCCAGAGTAGTGGTGAGTAAATATTCCTTAACTTCAGAAACTCTCCAACCTTCCTTGTCTTTTGAGGTTAAAAAATAGTAGATAATGTTGTGAGTACTTAATTCTTGAGCTGAGATCTAGAGGTAGCTGTATGATACCTGTGAATCCTGATCTGTACTGCAGAAGGAAGTTGTTTGGAGACTCCATGCTCTCCTCTCATGAAATAATGCTGGAGTGTGTAGGAATTCTGGAGTTAAATGAAGAGGTCTTTAAGTCTGCAAAGTTACTACCAAAATCTTCCAAGTATGTCAAAACTAGACTTATGAATACTTCTGCCTTCCATTTTTGTAGGAGAACAGCTCTTTCATTTTAAGCAGCAAAATTCCCAGTAAGAAAAAATCAAAGCCAGAAACAAAACGTGTGAAACTGAGGTGATTGAAATAGAGGAGGACGACTGCTGCTGAGAACTCTGGGCTTCTGCAAGGTTCACTTCCCTGCACAGAAAACTGACGAAGGAGGTGGCAGTGGTCACTCTTCAGATACCTTTTTGTGGCCTGCTTGGTTTACAACGCTGGCTGAAGTCAATGTCCAGCTGTCAGCCAAGCAACCCAGGCAGATGTGGGTTAAGGTGAGCACCTTGGGCTTGTGCCCGAGGGGGTTACAAAACAAGTACCATCTTTTTACGTGTCTTCTGTGCTCTTCTGTACCAAGTGTACACTATCCGTGGCTCAGTGACTGCGAGTCTTGCTGAAATGCTGGCATCTGCAGCTGGACTTCTGTTAACCAGTGGAGCGTAGAATTTGTCATGAAAACAGGAAAACGAGTTCCAAATACTGTAACAAAGTATGTCACAGTATGGAAAAGTGAATGCAGTTGCTTGCATACCTTGCAGAGAGCAGTTTTGGATCCCTTTTCTCTTTCATAGCTGACACTGTGAATGGTACTTGAGGGATTATTTTTCTGCATCTTACGGAAATGCAGGTTATGCTTTGAAATACTTAAAGCTGAGAAAGGGTTGAAAGCAGAACTGAAGTTTAATGCAAATCTTAGTGCCAAGAGGGAAAATTCGGAAGTGGTTAGTCAGCTGGGACAGAAGTCTGCTGCAAGATACAGTTAAATGCATTCCTGTGATGATAAAATCCATTTGTCTGGTTGAAGTTGTGTATTGCATGTAGAATAACTTCAGAAAACTAATTCTGTGCTCCTGAATCTAATGCAGTAATTTAAAGTTCCATGTTATCTTCAAAATAACTGGTGGTATAGTGAATCTTGGATAAACAAAGATGTGTCTTGCTCTGTCCAGAGTGGGATCTGAGGTGGGCAGGACTAAGCAGAAGGGGAAAGCTCTTCATAACAATGGTACTTAACAAGCATTGCCCCTGTTGCAAACACCTTTCTCAAATGTGCTTTAGTTGGAAATATGACCAGTGAGTGTTTAGAAAGGGTCAGAGTGGGGCTGACTCCCAGCTGACAAGCTGTCCTGGTAGCAGTAGGAATAGAGTCACGTTTGGAAAGTTCACTTGTGAACCAGCAGGATGTAAATAACCAAAGGGTGATCTGCCTCGCTCAAGCTCTGACAGCCACATCTGCCAGCAGCAAACTAACATCTGTTCATCTGTGCTGAGAGGGTGGTTAGAAAAAGCCTTGATATCTACTGGTTTAATTTCCTTAATATAACTGGCAGTCTGAGGAGACTTGCAGTAGGTGCTCAGTATAATCATAGAATCACAGAATGGTTTGGGTTGGAAGGGACCTTCAAGACCATCTAGTTCCACCCCCCCTGCCATGGGCAGGGACACCTTCCACTAGACCAGGTTGCTCAAAGCCTCATCCAGCCTGGCCTTGGACACTTCCAGGGATGGGGCATCCACAGCTTCTCTGGGCAACCTGTTCCAGTGCCTCACCACCCTCTCTGGGAAGAACTTCTTCCTGATATCTAATCTAAACCTCCCCACTTTCAATTTAAACCCGTTACCCCTTGTCCTGTCACTACAGGCCCTTGTAAAAAGTCCCCTTCCAGCTTCCTTGTAATACTAATTACAATTATTACAATTCCTTGTAATAATAATGAGAGCAGGTGAAGTGGCATTCCCTATAGGCTTGAAATAAGGTCCCAAGTCTTTACAAAGGAATTCCGGGGTTTCCCAGTTGCAGCTTAGTAGCTCTAGGGAGTAAAACTGCAAAAGTTACCCTGCAGTGGTCGAAGATCACGTGTAATACTGGTGCAGAATTACTGGCTAAATGTAGCTCTTTTAGGCGTCTACCTGAGCAATACTCTCTGCCCTGAAAGACTCATCCTGGATCTAGGCGTGGGGCTCTCGCTTGGTAAGGCGTAGCGAGGTGGTGTGTGGAGCCTCGCTCAGTCTGCAGTTCGTGTGATGAATTTTTCTGTTCAACTGCTGAGTGACTCAGAAATGAACTAATTTTCAATTCTGATTAGAACTGGATAAATGCACATGAAAGGCAAGCTTGTTACAGTTGTTAAATTGCTGAAACCAAGCTTCTGTCTTTAGCAATCTTCAGTTATTTGACCGTATCTAATAGTTTTCATCACCTTTTTTCTTCTAGTCTGTGTTGTTTTCAGAAGATGAAATTCTGCTCAGTTTTCCTGATGTGCAAGGTGAGCTGTTATTTGGCTTGGTTTCTGTTTTCCCTCTGTAGGTTTTCTGCTTTGCTTCACAACGTTTTGATCAAAGCAGTATTTCAGAGCTCACGTGTGAATACCTGGCAGTGTGTCAGAGCTGCGCAGCTTCTGCGTGAAGCTTCCAAGGTATTGAGTGCAGAGCGATGTCCCTTTCATCACTGACCAAACTGAGAGCCTGTAGCCTCTGCTTGAGTGAAAATTCCAACTTCAGAGTTCTTGAATACCCGCACGTGAAATGTGGTGGTTTGTAGAAGTGGTGTGTGGACACACTTTGGGTTTACCTGGTGTTGAACACTGCAAGGCAGCTTGTTCTGTCTGATTTGGCTCTGATGCTGCCTGGGATCTTCTGCTGGCGGTGCCTCACCCGCGCTTTCTGTGCTGGGTGTGTCCTACAGCTGCAGCCGATGGCCTCCCTGCCGTGACAGCTCATCGTCATGCGTGTCCCACACAGGAACGGCAGGAAGCAGCTGCTAGTCTTACATGTATGTATTGTTACAGCTGTGAAACTTCCACTGTAGGGTGTTAGCAAGGTCACGTGGTTTCAGGAGAGTCTAGGAGACAGCATGCACGAAAAAGGCATGGAAGATTATTTGACAGGAGAACATCTTTAACCTGGGAAGCCCCGAGCTAAAGCTGGGCCAGTAATAAACCCTTACAAGAACACACTTAAAGAGGGTAGGAACAGGACTTCTTACTTGGCTCTTGCTGTAGTAGGGTGATGGGTGAGAGAAGGTCTCAGTCTGACACAGCACAAATTGTTCTTAGGTCAGTGTGTCTGAACTCCTTGCCACAGTTACCTTTGTCCAGACTCCACCAGTCTGAAAGTCTAGAAGACCCGGTAGTGGTAGGTGACAGTTCTCACTGGTAAGTATATAGTAAACTGAAATGGCTTTAAGTGCTGTTTCAAGAACAGTTGGAAAATGAAAGCTGATGTGTTCAGTCTGTTCCAGCACGTGTTCAGTTTTTGTCTGTTGCTGTAGACAAAAAACCTGGAACCTAGTGCTTAGACAAACACCTTCTTTTGCAACCCACAGCTGATAAACGTATTAGTTGTGTTACTTATATGAAGGGACAGTATTTGCATGTGCTCAAACCCCGAGGAATCTAGGGCATGAGTTCCATGTTCTGGTTTGCAGAAGTGTTGTTCAGTTACATTGATTTCTTTCCAGGCTTCGCAGATGAAGACGGCAGCTCTGCAGCAGTGAGCAGGGGTAACTTGTTTGGTCAGCCGGAATTCCTGTGGCTGTTTGCTGGCCTTCTGATGTACAGATCTGTTCCTTTGGTGAACTCTGGAGCATGGAAGAGGTAAGCTTTGCGTTTCTTCTGAACTTCAGCGTAAGAGTATTAGATCCCTTCAGGCAAAAGTACCATTTCCACAGCAAGCAGTCAGGTTAATTTGTGCACTGTATGGTGTCTGCACCCAGCAGTATCGTCCTGGTGGGGTGTTCAAAAAGTGGTGCTACAGTATTTCAGCAGCTGGCATCGTTGGTTTTCACGCAGATGTGCTGGTTAAACTTGGTATTTCTGTTGAAACAAGTAGATTGAAAGTTTATATACTGGGATTGAAAGTTTATTACTTTTCCATACAACATGGAAAAACTGTTGAGCTGTTACGGGATTAAAGTATTGTTACATCGATGACCTTGTTCCAACACCTCTCTTAGGGAGCGTTCCTGTGATGTCTGGAGCAGTGGAAAGCCTCTACTCTAAAGTGTAAGTACTGAGGAAATCGTTTTTCCTGGGTGGAGATAGTTGGATGAGGATCATAAACGCTGAAGCCTTAGCTTTTTGGCTACCTTTTTACCAAGAAGCAGTGTTTTGAAACAAATCCATGTGCCAAAGGGCAGCTTGTTTCATGTTGTTTTAAAAGTCAGCTGGCTGGGCTGCAGAACCAGAAGCTACTCTGTAGATACGGTGAGGAACTAATTGTTATGCCTCGTTATTCACCGACAGACACAACTCCCTGTGTCAGTGTAGAACTAATTGCTATGCCTCGTTATTCACAGACACAACTCCCTGTGTCAGTGTCTGAACTGAAGAACGTGGCTAGAGGAGTGACAGGTTATGCTTTCCTCACTGCAAAGTTAATTGCAGTGGTGACAATGAGGCCTGTAACAGGTGCACTTAGTGGGACAGCTATGCTGTCAGAATGCAGCTACTGTAAGATCCCAAGGATTAGCTGGTTTGGGTGTTCCGTTCTGCATCCTGCCTACTAAAGGATGTAGAACTAGCAGGTAGGGGAAAGACGTGCGGTGCTGTGTTTGTGTAGATGGTTTATTACAGCATTTCTGTAAGCTGTCTTAAAGGGGGATGTCATAGGTGGGTTTTTTATGCCCTAGTACTGGCTCACTCCCTCAGTTGTATCCCATGTACCACAGTGCTCCAGTTCCTGAAATCACAGACAGAGGTGGTGGGCTGGGCCATGGCTCGGATTTTGCATGAAGTGCTTTGTTTGGGTTTAGCTTTCAGAGAGCACAGCTGGTCCACAGCCTGCCTCCTTCATGTTGAGTGTAAAAGTACCAACCACTGAAGATCTGAAGAAACTCGGAACTATTACTCATGTGCAACAATTTACTTCTTTTTAGGAGGTCCACGTGATGGTTCAGTGAGAACGAGCGTCTGGGTAAGTTGGTGTGACAGACGGTCTGTGGGTGTGTTCAAGCCCTGCCTGCGGCAGGTGAGCTGGCTGTCTTCACCTACCAAGCTGGTTAGATCGCCAGCTTTCTTACCGAGAAGATCCAGTGTTGCTTCAGAAAACATAAAGGCTTGTCTTGCCCCAAACTTGAGAATGCTGTGAGAAAACTGTGGTGATGATGGGCAAAATGTTCAACTGCTCTGAAGAGAGTGAGTGAGAACAGCCTTTCTGAACAAACCTTTGCCACATGTCCTTGGCATGTCACCTTATTCTGGGCATCCGTTCAGTGTATTTAAGGGCCATGTTTTGTGGCAGGGAGCAAAGGTCATGATGGTGTGAACTTTCTTTTAAACAGGACATTGTGAAGACCTGTCAAATTAAATAGGATAATATTCTGGTGTTGTAGTAGCTGTCAGTGTGATTCCAGGGAGAGGCTGTCAGAAATACCAGTGGGGATTAGACACCATGTACTGCTCTCGGTTCTGGTCTGCATGCACGTACCGGTTGGTAACCTTACCTTGATTTTTCAGGTAGCTGGAGAAGAGAGAAGGAAATGCCAGATATCTTTTCACATGAACCTGAAGCCCCTCCTAGGGTTAGTATGACATCTCTGGTTCTGGATATTCCTTAATGATTGAAGGGCTCTGGTTTTTGGTGGCTGGAGGTTTGTCAGATTAAGCTTGTGGTGACTTGTTCAACACTACCTCAACTGTACTTTGTGTTCATTGTCTGTTAAGTGAGGAATATTAGTCCAGGGAGGACTCCTACAGGTTTCTCCGTCTGAAAGGAGGGATCAGCTCAACTGCTTAAACTGGTGGTTTTACTTCTACAACTTCTACAGTGTTACGCCTAGCAGGGAGGGTTCTGATTGAGTACAACAATGTAGTTATCCCCTTTGTTGTTTGCCTTTCAGGTAGCATTAACTTTTAACATTAAAACTGTTTGCTCATGTGGAGTTACTTCATCTTTCCCAAATGTTAGTGTGTCATTTACCGTCCTCCTTCCCCCAAGTGCCTTGAAAAAGTTAAGGGTCTGTATGAGATGCCTTTCCAGTCTGCTTGGTTTTTATGTATCGTGCTTGCTTATGTTACCGGAAATGTTGAGGTCTATCCCGATAGGATCTCCTCCGTAGGTTCGTGTCGTTGGAAATGCCTCACAGAATAAACTTGCGGTTTCGCTTTACCCATCGAACTACCTGTTAGCTCTGTGGGATAAAACTGCAAGACAAACCGCCGTGGGGCACCCTGGGGGCTGCCGCGGGGCACGCTGGGGGCTGCCGTAACGCCTTACGTTCTCCCTTAGGTACTGACACGCTTTCGATACCAATGAAAAGGGGATTCAAGTGGAAAAGCTTGGTAAGAGTGGAAAGGTGGTGTGTTCTAGGACGTCAGGTGTCACCAACGTGTTGGATTACGTGGGCTGAACTTTTCCCTTCAGCCAGGTTTTTGTGTAGGTACCGGGGCACCCTGGGGGCTGCCGTAACGCCTTACGTTCTCCCTTAGGTACTGACACGCTTTCGATACAAATGAAAAGGGGATTCAAGTGGAAAAGCTTGGTAAGAGTGGAAAGGTGGTGTGTTCTAGGACGTCAGGTGTCACCAACGTGTTGGATTACGTGGGCTGAACTTTTCCCTTCAGCCAGGTTTTTGTGTAGGTACCCGATTTCTAACACTGTTACTTGTGGTTTGAGTTTTCTGGGTGGCTTTAATCTTATTTCCTGCCTTGGTCACGAAGGAGGGGGCTGTTTACATCTTGTTTTGGTGGCGCAGAAGAGGCAACGCTGTGGTGACCCCCTGTACTTGAAGTAACTTCATAAATGTGCTGTGTTCTGTTCGGTGTCAAGTTAATGCTTGATAGGTTTCATAGGGAGCGGCAACACTTGGGTGGTTCTAGTTTAAGTTGGGGGTTTAAGGAGTTAATTTATGAGCAGCTCAGGCAGTTTACTGCTGTACAGTTCAGATTCCTGCCTTCTGTTCCACAGAATCCAGGGTTTAAAGTAAAACAAGCAAAATAGTCCGGAAGAAACATAAATCCTTTGTGGACTTTAAGGAATTCCCAAGTTGCTGTCCCTGTTAGGTGAAACACATGGAGTCTCCCTTCCCTCTCAGTTGCATGGAAGCTTTTGGGGAATGAAGAGGAAGTACCTCCATTTAGCTTACACTCGCCACGAGGTGGCGCTTAAGGAAAGCAGGTATGTTGATGAGCAGCTGGTGACTATCTCCTGCAAGTGTTGCACTGTATGGTATCTGCACCCAGCAGCATTCTTCTGATGGGGTGTTCAAAAACCAGTGCTACAGGAATTCAGCGCTTGGCATCGTTGGTTTTCATTCTGCTGTGTCTGTTAAACCTGGTATTTTTGCTGATACAGTTTTTGTCCCCTTCAGGGATTTAGGTGTGCTTGCTTTGTTTTCATGTTCCAGTGTGGGAGCTGGATCCTGGCCTCTGGAATGTACATTCAGTTTCTGCTTTGTAACAGGTGCTTGCAGATGGAGAACGATGTGTGCTTGGCTGTGTTAAAAGGATGGGCTGTGGAAGATAACAACACCCTGTCTGACAGGTAGGTGCTGCGTTACTGGGCGGTTTGGGTGGTTTCATGCAACTGAGCTTGTGTTTGTGTGTTAACTTGGTGCGGCTCTAGGACATGGGAAACTCAGTGAAGTGTAGAAAGGGTTCTCCAACAGCAGGGATCGCTGGGCAGCCATCGCCCCAGATCTTGGCAGGTTGCCTGTCTGCGAATCGTTCTTGCATGTGCATACGTGCTTGGTGTGAGTGTCAGGGCTGTGCAGCTGCATGTAGCGCTGGCTTCTGGACCGACTGCTGCTGGGGTGAGAAATTCCTCTCTGGAGCTTTGCACAGATTTTAGGCTTGTTGGTGCACAGCTTAGCTCATGTCTTGGTCCTTAACAAGGGAGGGGCAGTGACTTGGGCGTAGAGCTGAGCCCCAGGTTTCAGCAGGGGGTCAGAGCAGTGGGAGGAGTTGGCAGGTCATTACCAAGGCTGCTAGGATATTGCTGTTCCTGGTGAGCTGTGGACATGACCGCACAGCAAACCCGTCAGACTCCCGATTGCCACGTGATGTGGCACTAGGTCTGCTGGGAATAAAGCTTGGATGTGGGTTTGGGGGAGAGTGCTCCCTGCTGCTGCAAAGGGGACAGCCACATCCGGCCAAGCGGTGGCTGTATCCTTGGGAACTCAACACCTCAGCTACACAGGAACTGAAGTTCAGTTAGAACCCTTGTAACTTGGACTCGGGAAGCTGCTGGATGGTTGTTGCGCGCACAGACGGGGAGACCGAGGGCTGCTCGGTGCGATTTACGTGTGACCGCTGTTGTTAACTCTGCGCTTACGCCAACCAAACCTGTCTAACCCACAGTGTCTGCTGCCAGGCCGCTGCCCGTCGGAAGGGTGAGAAACGCCGCTGCCAAAGGTACGAGTGCTCGGCAGCGTTGCTGGGACTGAAAATCTCAAGGTCACTTCAAAGAGGGTTTGCGTGGCTGAAAAACCAGCAGCTCTTAACGCGGTGACCGCATATCGAAATCCTCTGCAGGATGCTGTGGCCACGTGGTGTGTGCTATGGTCTATTTATGAGGAGATACATCTTCCGGAGGGGAAAAGGGTGTCATCTGCTGCCCTCGGGTTTTGTGAGGTGCAGGTGGAGGGAAGGGGCTGCTGGGGTTCAGTGAAACCGGGTGGCAGTGTGTGAGGTGGGAGAAGAGGTTGATGCAGCTGTGGCAGGAGCAATCCTGTAACCTGATTGCTGCTTCCACTTCCCTTGGCCATGATACAATCCTAGAGCTGCATGGGAGCCTGCAGAGTGGATAATCCTGGAGTGACCAGGTGAGGGAGAAGTGCAGGGTGGGAATGCTGTGGGCACTGAGCAGGTACAGGAACCAGAAAACGGTGATCCTGGGGGAGCTGGCAGTGGGAATCATGCATCTGCCCCATACCATTTAGTAGGGGGGTACACGCAAGTTCCCTGTGTTACTGCTGTTGTGCCAGCGCTGTCTGTCAGATGTGGGGAAGGCAGCAGGGCTCAAAGGGCTTCTGAGTCAAAGTGCTGACAGATGCTTTTCCTCTCTCAGGGCCCTGTGGTGTGGTACATGTCTGCTGCAAGGAAGAACCGCACAGCTCTTCCAGACAGAGAAAGAACCATCTCCAGAGTGTACGGCAGAACTTAGAACCCAGCATTCACACTTCCCTTCGTGCTCTGTAAACTGAAGTGGTGTGGTACCAGTTCAGCACAGGAGCCCGAGTTGTGACTTGCCTGTCACCCTCCTGGGGGGTGTGGGGGTGGCAAAGCTGCCTGCGTGGTGGTGTTGTGGAAGAGTTAATGGAGTGCATTGAGCTGTGATTTGACTCAAACAGGCTTTATCAGCTGTTCCCCTTCACTTCCCTGTCTAAAGCACGAGGGGTCTTTGTTCTGTACAAAAGGTCACAGCAATTAAATAAAACTGGTGTCTGAAAGCTGCAACCTGGGTATTTCCTGTTATACAAGAGCCTGAGCAGCCCTTACCCTGGCAGTTCTGTAAAAGAGGGACTACACCTGCTGTACTGCTGGTGTGCTTCCCCTGTGGCAGGATGAGCTGGATTTCTTACTCTTTACAGGGCAGGGGTAACAAACTGCTTCAGCTCTGCCATGTGTGCAGCTGCACCATGGACTGAAACCAGTGAAATACAAGCCTGAAGTGGAAGTAATTGCTCATCAAAGACAGTTCTCTGCTGCATCCTAAAGAGAACCAAATTCAGTGACAGGCTCTTCAGCTGCAGCTACCCCCATCCAGCTTTGGAGCAAAAGCTGAGCTTTGACTTTGTCTTGATGATGTAATGACTTGGCTCTGACTGGGAGTTCAGGAAGCTTGGATTGAATTACAGTTGGAAGTAGTTATAGTGTAGTTTTTAGTCTCTGTACCTTAGAATGTACCTCTTGACAGCAGGAACTGTAGCCCAAAGAGCAGAAGTTACAGCTTCGCAGAAGAAAGTGATGTCTTGCATCCTGAGGATCCAAGTTAGCTTAGAAGTTGGTTCTTTATTTGAAAGTATTTTGTACATGTATATGACAAGGGTCAGTAAAAACACGAATGAACATCAGGAATGGCCTTTCACTGTGTCAGACAAAGCAGGTTTGAGGCAGCAGGCTTCTGGGGCTGGGTGTGCAGTAGGTGAGGGTGTGTTCACTGGGTTTTCCATCAGCTGTTACCTGCATTAACATTAGTCTGTCATCTCCTGCCCATCACAGCACTTTCCCAGACTTCTTGGAGTCAGCTGAAAGCTGAGGATTCTGATGGCTCCGCTGTTACCTGCATCAGCATTAGTCTGTCATCTCCTGCCCGTCACAGCACTTTCCCAGACTTCTTGGTTCGTAGTTTTTCCAGCATTTTCTGCAAATGAAACAAACACGTGTGACCAAGCCCTGTAGCTTAGTGGCTGCACTAACATCAGTAATGGACAGTGCAAGTGGGGCAGTGAGTTGGGTTACTGCTCCCACACCCCCAGAGTTGGGGGGCAGGCCTGCTTCTTTCCCACAGCCCATGTTACTTAGGCACGCAGCAGCGATGTACACCACCGTGGAAAAGCAGAGGGGGCCATTGCTGAAGGCAGGATGTGGGCCCAGAGTCCCCAGCAGCAGTGCCTGCCTGTCCCTCCTTCCTTCCAGCCCAGGGACTGGGAGAACTGCTTCGACCCTCTGTGTGAGAGGGGCTGCAGGCAAACCCAGACAGGATGCCTGGACCTCCCCTTCAGGTGTGCTGTGCTGCACAGACCCCTACACCACCTACAGCAGCCAACCTGCATTCCTCTGCCCAAAGAAACACAGTTAACAGAAATTCACTCAAGTCTGGGCTAGCCAATCCCTGCCATTCATCTTGCCAGCACTTTCTAGCAGCTGGAGCCCCCAACAGCCTTTTTGCCCCCCTTCAAGCCACCAGAAACAGAGAGGTGGGTGCCCTGGTTCAGCCCAGTCAGAGTGTCCATAGGGACATGAAGTGGGATAAGCCAGCAGCATCGCCGCAAATCCTGACTGCTGTGAGGGTCTGTTGCGGTTGTACTCATGCCCCAGAGCTCCGTCAGCGACCGACCAGAGGCACAGTGGGGGCACAGAACCGAGCAGGCCTGCAGCAGGCTTGCCGTTACCTTCTGAAACTCCTTGGCCTTTTCTCTGGTTTTAGCACAAGGTTCTAGCCTGGCTGCTTCTTCCTTTCCCACTTGTGGAAGTTGATGAGGGAGGCTGTCGAGAGAGTAGAGAAAAATGGCGTCTTGTTGGGCAGGGGAGCGGCAGAGCAGGAAGGAGTTAACAGAGTAAAGGCATTTCTTGGGCTGCCCGTATCTAACACGCCCCGTTCAGGACATGGATTTGCATGTCACCAGTAATAAGTGCCCCAGTACAACCCAGTACAAGTTCTGTCTGATGCCATGTGTTAACTGAGCAGGCTCCATCGGATTCCTTACTGCCAGGGCACTTCCCTGTGGAACACCCTTGGCTCCCCACCATTCCAGGGGGAAGCAGCATCCCCTGGGGCCCCAGCTGGCAGATCAGACTGCTCTGACCACCGAGGAACGGCTCTGGTTTGATCCGAACGCCTCCCGCTAGTGTTCATGCAGTACCTTGAAGCACGCTGGGGCGGTGCGGTTTCTCCAGAGGTCCCGTCTTCTGGAGAGGACACCCTCACTTCTCCCACCTTCTTCAACTGCCTGGCAACTGCACCTTTTTTGTCTTTTTAAAAACAAAAAGCCAAGCACAGCGTAAACCTCCAGCGCAGCCAACTCTGAATGTGAGAGGTCTCACGGGTTTTTAGGTGACACTACGGAGCAGGAAGCTCAGGGATACAAGGGAGAGGACACCTCCTGTTGGAATGCTCCCTCAGGCTGCTGCCTGTACCAGCCCTGCTTCTTCCCAGCCAGCTTCCAACGCCCCACTGAGAGCTGTCAGAGACGCACAGCCCGTGGCAGGGGGGTTGGAACTAGATGGTCTTTAAGGTCCCTTCCAACCCCAACTGCTCTGTGGCTCTGTCACTTGGCTCAGGAACTGATCAGCTCCTGTTGGCAATGAGCACAGACAGGTGGGCAGACTGAAGCCAGAAGGGGCCTGTGACAGCCTTTACAATGTGGCAGCGTAGACAGACAGGGTTGTAAACATCCCCGCATCTCTGAGAACACCTTAAACATCCCAGTCTGCAACAGCGAAGGGGCAGCAGACGTGAAGTCTGTTCTTCAGACCCCAGCTCAGGGCACCTGATGCCATGTCCTGTCCCCAGATAAACCTACCGGAGATGAGGGGCTCCTTCCGCCTGTCTAACTTCCCCGGCTTTCCTCTTTGAAACGGCCTGGCTTTTGGCTTTTCATCTTCTCTCTCTTTGTTTTTTATTTCTTCTACTCTTTTCAGAGAGTTCTGGATGAAGGTCTTCTTTCTCTTTACAAAAGATTCTTGCAAACTTCCCGGGGTGGAAGCAAACTCCAGCAACATCACTGTGAAAGAAGATGGAAAGTCTGGATGTGCCTCACTTTTAGCAGTGCCACCTCTTAAGTCGTTGTGCGTCTTCCTCCTACGCCGCTGAGCTTGGCTGCTTCTGGAAATCACTCGGGGACAGTGACATAAACCTGGCCCCCACGCACCACAAGCTGAGCCTGCCCAGCAAGGTGTGCTTGCCTAAGGAGAAGCCGCTCCATGTTTTCCAGAGGAGAGGGTCGTTTTACTGATGGCTTTAACCCGCCGTGTACAGACCTTCCCTACCTCAACTCCTGGAAATACCCAAGTTACACATAATTACCTGCAGTCTGATGTGGTGGAAAGCAACTGCCACCAGGACTCCGGGCTTCGGAAGGAGTGTTCAGCCTTACAGATGTGGAATAATCTGCATCTGGAGCTAGTGGGAAAAATTCTCTCTCCTGCTGCGAAAGGAACAAGTGATTGGAAAGACTTAAAACACAGCACAGGTTTGAGTGAAGCGGGAGTACTGCGCCACTCGTGCAGGCCCGATGCAGGTTGGGGACTACGTCTGCCTTCACAGCTGAGGCAGGAAACGTCAACCCGACCACGGCAGCCAGCACTGCAAAGCTATTCTGTAAAAACGTTTTAGAACTTAAAATCTATTAAAAACCCTTTGCCCACCAGATTCCAACTGCTTGTTCTTAATACAGGGCTGCAGAGTTTCATCCCCAGGGCAGTGTTCCTTTGCCCTGCTCTCCCATCACTCCATCACTCCCTGCTCCGTCTCTTCCCCCATGCTCACAGAGAGGAGCCCCATCGAACCGAGATGCTCCCCGCAATTCCTAAGCTCGGATAACCCCACCACATTCTCTCGTTTTGCAACAGGGGATCGACTGCTACAGCAGGGCCTCTCCTCGCTGTGATGAGGGCTAAGCTAAGATCAAATTACATCAGATAATGAAGACTCACCTCGGCAAAAGCACTGAGTTCAGACTGATCCGCACAGGCTGGGTTGTTGGTTTTATCCTCCTTCATTTTCTCTCCGTCGGTACATTCAGCGCCTGACTCTGCAAGACTGATGTCATTCGAGCTCACCAGCGTGAGTTCAGGTTCTTCCATAATACCACCCCCTGACTCAGTCTCCTAGAAAATTAATTATACAAGACATCAGTGTGAAAAATGAAAGCCACGGCCCTTGGCAGCAGCAGCTGTTACCTCGTCAGATCGGAGGCAGCTCATTCAGCGAGCAGAATAAAGGATGCCTAAGCCCTCTGCCTGAGGTTCTGGTGGATGCACACCCTGGAACCCAAGTCCAGTGCAAACTGGTTTATGTAACAGTGTTAAAAAATCCCCAAGCAAACAACCCAAAGCAACCAAACAACAGAAACTCCACCTCTCCTCCACTCACCTGAAGTCTAAAACTCTCAGTTCTAGGACAAACTTTTTTTTTTAAAGCTGCATCAAAGCCATTTCCTGAAGTTTGCTTACGCTTTGGTGAAAGTAGGTACCTCCTTCAGGCTCCTCAGTGGGGAGGGGGCTGTTGGTTACTAACAGTGCGGCGCGGTACAGGTGTACGCAGGTATACCTCTGCATACCTGCTGCTGCCAAGAGAGGGAGAGGCTGTAGCTCCTCCAACAGTCACGGGAGCTCCAGCTCATTTAGCTACAACTAATTACATCAGTACTATGATCCGAAAGAGAGGCCGAGGTTCCAGGAGACATGCAAGCCTTAAACTAGAACTGTAAACAATCAACATTTGCCAAGCTTTCAGATATTAAAGGTCTAAACCAACTTGGTGCAACAACAAAAGCACCCGGAAAGGCCTGCACAAACTACTGCTTTCCTAAGTGTGTTTCACTCACCCAGACAGGAATACAGCACGAGCTGCCGGGCACCGAACTGCAGTGCTTGTCACGCCTTTCCAGGAGGGAACCGTTCTGTTGTACGACAGCCTGCAGGTGGGTGCCCGAGTCTTCCAGGCTGGTTTCTCTGGGAACCCTCAAAGATTTCTGTACTTCCAGAAAGACTTGATCTGGCACCTTTGTATTTGCATTACACTGAGAATCGAGCTCCAGAGATTTATTTGCTTCATGTACATGAAATGCTTTTTCAGGAAGCTGCACATACTTCTGATCAAATGCCTCCACAAGTAATTTTTCCGAAGACACAGTCTCTTTTAGGAAGTGTTGAGGGCAAGTTTCATCTACTGTCACTGGTGAGGTATTTAGCTGATAAAATGAGTTTTGCTCTTCCAGTGGATTCAGTCTTTCGTTTTGCAGATCTTCCACTGGACACTGGAGGTTAATACATTCCATGTTTCTTGCCAGTTCTTCATATTCTCTGGCAGATGAAATACAGATCTCATTGCCCCCTTTTTTAATTCCAGGGGTTTGTTCCAAAGAGATCTGTAAGGTGGCGTTAAGGTCCACGGGCCGATCAGCATTCTGACTGTGATCACTCGGGGTAGATTCGAATTGCAGTGGGTGGAAAGAGTCTTCAGATCCTGTTGCAGAAATCATCAAGAGTCAAAATTCCAGCTAACACAACAGAATTTCAACTTCAAAAAGTGCCTCTGTAACAAGACTTTAGTAATGTATAAAGAAGTCTAGTAAACAGGAAGAAACATTTTGTTTTAAAAAATTCTGCTTAAGCTTCTTCAAACATCACACCATTAACGTTACGTAAAATTACTCCTTCACTGCATCAGAACAACTTCAAGAAACACCTCATTTTGTTGCTTCTTACAATATGTTGTATGAACATACTGATCATGTAAGTCACACAACATGACTTTGTGATGGTGCTGACATAACCACTTTGAAGGTCAACTCCTCCTCTGTAAATGCAAGTCCTTTCAGTCCCTTTTGGGACTCCAACAAAGTCTCTAAACCAGGAAGAAAACGACTCACAACACCATTTCTTGGGCAGAAACTCTTCAAAGTAGAAGAAAACACCCAAATTGGAGCAGTGATTGTTCCTACAAATTACAACACTGAACCCTAAATTAGCTTTCCCTTAGAATCATAGAATGGTTTGGGTTGGAAGGGACCTTAATTACCATCTGGTTCCAACCCCCCTGCCATGGGCAAGGACACCTTCCACTAGAAGGAGCACTAGAGTGCTCAAAGCCCTGTCCAACCTTAGGATTTACACATACCGATCAAGATACTGATTATTTTTCCCCAAAAGAGACTCTGAAAAGATCAGGTATCGGCATGCTCATTACCAGGGAGGCATTTCAGAAGTACAGCATATGTGCAACAAGGCTGTTAAAATACATTTTTTCGTAGGCCTCTGAGCTACGTGTGATAAAACTGGTCACACCGATCCCTGCTATCAGCAGGCTTTTTATATACACAGGAATATACACATAAGCCTTTAATGGTTTCCTTTGAAGATTGTTTTGCATTCTTTGACACCTACAAAATACCTACTTTCACATGTATCAGGAACATTGTCTCCCGATAAACAGCTGTTAACAGGGAGGGAGGAACAGCACTGCAACATCAGCCACCAACAGAAAATCCATCAGGTGACGGACTTAGACATCAGCTGCCCTGAACTGACAACCCAAAGCAGTTCCCACTTGCCCAGCCTGTTGCTCATGTCATCTCCCCCTTTAAAAGCACAGCAGTAATTGGTTTGGGATTATAAACACACTTAGGAGGTGGGGAGAACCTGCAGTTACATTTAAAGCACCAAGACTGTCTCTGCAAGTGCGTGAGAAATCGAATGTTTTGAAGTTGGAAGGGAAGTTCCTAAATCTGGTTTGCTGTGAGCACAGGTGTCTCAAAAAAAAGGCTGGAAGAGACTTACACATGATTGCTATTTTTTGTACCAGCATCTGCCAGCTGAAGAAAGAGAATTTTAATAGACACAGAGTAGTTACTTGCAGCTTTAAACATAAATAGTGTGTGTTTCCCAAAAAGTGTGTATATATGCAAATGACAAAGATAATTGACCAGGAACATTTACATTATGAATACATCTATTACTTACAACACTGTGCTGCATTACTGTTCAGCTTTCTGCTGGGGCACCTAAAAAAGCTGAAACACCTGATTCTTGGTAAAATAAGAGCTTCAGAAATATAAATATTACTATTAGATGCATTTGGAATTCATAGAATCACAGAATGGTTTGGGTTGGAAGGGACCTTAAAGCCCATCTAGTCCCAACCCCCCTGCCATGGGCAGGGACACCTTCCACTAGACGAGGTTGCTCAAAGCCACATCCAGCCTGGCCTTGAACACTTCCAGGGATGGGGCATCCACAGCTTCTCTGGGCAACCTGTTCCAGTGCCAGTTCACGTACTGGCAGCAGGCTGGTTTGGAAAGCATTGACCCAGCTGCACTGCACATACCCAGGGTAACGCTTTCTCTAACGGACTCTTCCGACGTGACGCGCTTTGGCCCGTTTGTTTCAGGACTTGAAGGCAGACGGCTGCTTTGCATATTCACACCAGAGTTCCCCACTTCTAGAAAGGTAGACAGGTGTTGACTTTCTGTTGGAAATTTTGAAGTCTAGTGACAGGAGAAAAGAAATACTTAAAGATTCATTTTCTCAGAAATACAAAGGATAAAAAAGTTAAAGGTAATACTTGATTCTTGGATCACATTTCTGCTACAACCAAAACCACGTCCAGTTCTACACATATCAAAAGTTATTGTTGTATTTCTTCTAAACAGAAGACAGCAGAGCGATTATACACTTGCATCTTCCAGAAATCTTAAGCCAAAGCATTTCCTCTGTCAGAGGATATTCCATCTGTGGTACCTTGCTAAACTCTCGACTGTCTTGTGAAGTTCCGTACGGAGAACAGGACGATGACGTATCAGATTCAAGACTTGGTTCCAAAGCCTGAAAGAGCTGCTGATGGGAGCTCAGAAAAGGTCTCTCCATTTCAGGAAAATCAAGTTCAGCTTCCAAAGCTGTAAGAAAAGAGGTTATTTTAAAAACAAACACCACCACCACCCACCACCACCCCCCCGCAACAAGCAAATAAACCACCCAGACATACTCCACCTTGCTTCTGTCCGCAGTAAAAAGCATACAGTATCATAGAATCACAGAATGGTTTGGGTTGGAAGGGACCTTAAAGACCATCCAGTTCCAACCCCCCTGCCATGGGCAGGGACACCTTCCACTAGACCAGGTTGCTCAAAGCCTCATCCAGCCTGGCCTTGAACACTTCCAGGGATGGGGCATCCACAGCTTCTCTGGGCAACCTGTTCCAGTGCCTCACCACCCTCTCCGGGAAGAACTTCTTCCTGATATCTAATCTAAACCTCCCCGCTTTCAGTTTAAACCCATTACCCCTTGTCCTGTCACTACAGGCCCTTGTAAAAAGCCCCCCCCAGCTTCCTTGTAGCCCCTTCAGGTACTGGAAGGTGCAATAAGGTCTCCCCGGAGCCTTCTCTTCTCCAGGTGAACTCAGCAGGTATACAAATAGTAGTCTGTAAAAACCCCAATCTTTACAGCATCCAATTCTTTCACTCAGATACAATGCAAGTACACAAAGCAGCAGGAAAGGGCTAGCCTGATGCCATGATTATTTAAATGAAAAGCTGATGTCTGTGAGCTCTGCCCAGCGCTGCATCAGAAGTAGCATGGGCTTCCCAGTACAGCAGAGCACACCCAATGAAGAGCCACAGGGGTGACGAAAGGAGGATGAAGCACATGATGTTCAAAGAGAAGTTAAAAAACCCGAGTTTGTTCAGCCTTAAGAAAAGGCCTGGGGGGGTGGGGGAAGTGCACAGAAATCTCTGCTGCTACATTGGAAGTGAGGGTAAGGAGAAAAGGCAGTCCTTCTTGAACATGCTCAGTGAAAAAGATAATGGGCACAAGATGGAACACAGGAAATTCTGGCTGGATACAGTACAAGGCAGAGGAGAAAATAAGACAGTTATTAAAATGTTGCCCAGGGGTGTGTGGAATCTCTGTCCGTGGAGATACTCACAACTTGCCTGGACAGGGCCTTAAACAATCTGGTCTATGTTGGCTCTGCTGTGAGCAGGAAAGAGAACTTAAACCACAGAAGTCCTTCCCGGACTAGAGTAATCTATAATTCTAGGATTCCAGGTTTTCAAACATTCCAGGAAGAAGTGGTTCAGATTAAAATACTACAGTTATCTTCATAAGAGCTCATAAAGATGCCGTTATCATCATGAATCGTTACATTTCTTCACAACTCCCACCAGTCTGTTAATCAGCGTTTCGTCAACTACGTGACCCTACGTGAACAATGAAGAATCATGTGTTATAGTCTCTCCATTCCTAAAGTGGAAGTTGTGCGTAAACACGTGTTGAAACTGGCACAGATGACAAACAGCCCCAGCCGTGGTAGCAGGAAGTTGTGTAGAAACCACAGAATCATAGCATGGTTTGGGTTGGAAGGGCCCTTAAAGACCATCTAGTTCCAACCCCCCTGCCATGGGCAGGGACACCTTCCACTAGACCACGTTGCTCAAAGCCTCATCCAGCCTGGCCTTGAACACTTCCAGGGATGGGGCATCCACAGCTTCTCTGGGCAACCTGTGCCAGTGCTTCACCACCCTCTCTGGGAAGAAATAGACCAAGATCATACAGATACCTCATCAGAAAAGCTTTCTTTTTGTTTCCACTACACTGGGGGGTGTGGGCACAGGCACAGAGCAAAGCACGAAGAACACGAACGCATCAAAGTTCTTGCATGTAGAATCCTTACTGACTTTACAGGGTGAGCTGAATACAAGCAATACAGCCTCACACAGGAGTAAGCTCCTCTTCATTCTGAGGACAGCGCAGCACAGCAATGCTTTACCACAGCGAATACCTTGGAAACGTGCGTTGTCCTCCGAGTAAGAGTTCAAGTCTCCGGTGCATCTCCCCAGGACCTGCCGTATCGGACTTGCTTTATAAAGGTACCTCTCTCCTTCAGGCAGCTGGGTTTCAGATGCTGCAGACACCCTCTCTTGCCTCTGCTGCAAGGCAGAAGGCAGCGAGGAGTTCCAAGGGCGGCTTGCTGTTTCTCTCAAGATTCGAACTCCTGTGCTATCAGATGACAATCCTGAAATAAGCCAAATAGAATCATAGGGTCTCTGGGTTGGAAAAGACCTTAGAGATCACCAAGTCCAACCGTTCAGTTTTGCATATAAACCACTTACACCAAGTCATCTGAAAAGGCATCGCTTAACATTCACTAAGACCTCTGGGGGCTTGTTTCTTTAATCGTCTCCTGTCAACGCTCCCACAAACCCTACCACTAATTTCCACGAAGGAAAGTTGATAACATCTAATTAGGTAGCAGTCAGTACAGCTTAGCACTTTTAGAGTATGCAGACTTCAGAAATAGCGAAACAATTAAATCAGAAGGGAATTAATACTGTTGGTTTATGCTAGCAAGCACACTTTTACCTATCACATATAAATGTGCCAACCCCTCTGTCTATGTGCTTACAGAAGAATTGCACAGTGCTGTCAGAAAAGGTCATTATTAAGCACTGAGCATACAGTGAAGACACAGCTAGGCTTGAAAAATTCATTCATACAGCTGAGTCACCAAAACCTTTGGTATTTTTTTTCCACAACTAAAAACAATAGAAGAGAAAAGCTCAAACCAAATTATCTTACAATTTGCTTTAGCTTTCTTATGTCAATAAACCACAGATTTGGCACATGAGTTATGAAGTTTACTCAAAATAACACTTGGCGGTTTACAGCATTAGGGTTAAAATACAGCCTGAGATTTCAAGTGGCTCAAAAACTGTAGTCTTCAAAAATTGATTTACAAACACAGAATAACTCATATGCACATATGGTTGTTTATGAGATCAGATGCATGTCTGATTAGCACAATATTAAGCCTTAAAGTAAATAAATCCACAGCTCACTAATCACTTTCAAACTCACATCCCATGTGATAATGTCAGTATCTAGAAAAGCAGATACATATTAAAAACAATTCCTTTTATTATCAGGCCTTCCAGTACCTGAAGCGGCCTACAAGGAAGCTGGGAGACTTTTTACAGGGGTCTGTAGTGACAGGACAAGGGGTAACGGGTTTAAATTCAAGTTGGGAGGTTTAGATTAGATATCAGGAAGAAATTCTTCACAGAGAGGGTGGTGAGGCACTGGAAGAGGTTGCCCAGAGAAGCTGTGGATGCCCCATCCCTGGAAGTGTTCAAGGCCAGGCTGGATGAGGCTTTGAGCAACCTGGTCTAGTGGAAGGTGTCCCTGCCCATGGCAGGGGGGTTGTGCCCATGGCGTTGGAACTAGATGATCTTTAAGGTCCCTTCCAACCCAAACCATTCTGTGACTCTGTGATTAAAAATTTCATTAAAAAATAACTTGAAGATCAAGAGGCAGACTGCAAGCAAAAAAGTATTTCCCAGAAAACTATTAGAAAGCAATATTAGCTGTGCTGGTTTTGGCTGGGGTAGAGTTATTTTTCTTCGTATGAAGAGTGACATTTTCACAAATAAACTAACAATTACTATGACGACAAGCAGACATCGGAGCGATGCACTTAAGCAGCAAGACAACGATATCAGCTCTGTAACAATCTATGATACATATTATTAGAAAACTTATCAGTGTGTCAAAGGGGGATCTGTTTTAGTTTTTGTTTTAAATTTTGCCACTTAATACTAGTGTTACAGTTGCTTAATAAAACTTAAAATATCCTTTGCCAAACCTGATGTGTTATAAGGTTAAATTATAAAAGTAAAAAAACCCCATGATCCCATAACAAAACATCCTAGCTACAGTCAAGTCTAAGACATATTAATCATTCCTAAGTGACTCATAGAATCACAGAATGGTTTGGGTTGGAAGGGCCCTTAAAGACCATCTAGTCCCAACGCCCCTGCCATGGGCAGGGACACCTTCCACTAGACCAGGTTGCTCAAAGCCTCATCCAGCCTGGCCTTGAACACTTCCAGGGAGGGGGCATCCACAGCATCTCTGGGCAACCTGTTCCAGTGCCTCACCACCCTCTCTATGAAGAACTTCTTCCTGATATCTAATCTAAATCTCCCTGCTTTCAATTTAAACCCACTACCCCTTGTCCTGTCACTACAGGCCCTTACAAAAAGTACCCCCCAGCTTCCTTGTAGCCCCTTCAGGTACTGGAAGGCTGCAATAAGGTCTCCCTGGAGCCTTCTCTTCTTCAGGCTGAACAAGCCCAACTCTCTCAGCCTTTCTTCGTAGAAGAGAAGTTCCACATTAGCCTACTTCAGAACAATGTATGGCCAGCATGTTAGACCCATTCTGCTGTAAAGAGAATGCACAGTTTTCACAAGAACTCCACAACCCAAACACTCACCGGTGTCAGCAGGGCTTCCATCCAACGTTTCACTAGTCAAAAAGCTTCCAGTGGAGATTGTTGAAGATAAATCACAGGGCACTCTTTGCATAAAAGCCTCTGAATGCAAGTCTGCAGACACTACTTCAGAAGGTACTTCCTAGGATGAATAACACGCCTGTCACCATGTATCCCAGTGTCCCTAAGTAAAGCTTTAAACCCACACGCTCCATCCTGAGCTCAGTTCAAGTGTAGAAGCCTTCATGTTTTGCACACTCAGGCAAACACCGGTTCATCACTGCTCAGTCCAACACATTCACATCCAACGTCCCAGGCACGTCACTCCCCAACCACCCCCTCCCCTCCACACGCACCCCAGCCCACACACACACACTTCATTACCAAGCCTCTCAGAACGGCATACAGATCATGACACCTAGAAGATTGTTTTATCTTCCAGTGGTCAGATTTGGCTATTTCTCATCACAGACCCACTTCAGTAGAATTGTAGATCTCAGAGGGACATATATGCAATACATGAAAAACTCACGAATTTACAAGTAACTGCAATACTGAGCCTTTTGCACACAGGAGACTGACATCAAAATGTAATTCTAAGAAATTAAACTAAAAATATACAAAGCATCCTAAGATACTATCTTCCTTAATAATTAGGTAAGTTCTGTAAAGTCACATAACTGAGAATGAGGGTTCTTGTACTTCCAAATTCTAAAGAATTAGATGTGAACATTTATTCCCAAACTCTGAATTAAAATATGCACTAAAAAAATAAAAGAAACCCTTCCACTAAGTTTTTCATTATATACTACCTTATATTAACACTCACAGAAAACATGTGCATTTAAAAGTGATTTTTTACACACATTATACAAAGCATTTTTTTAAATCCTGTTTTTTATCTCCTGACCAAACGATGGGATCGTTGGGTGAGGGAAAAGCAGGGATATCACTAGTGCTCATTCTGGCAAGGCTTTTGACATGGTCTCTCCCAACATTCTTGTATCCCAGTCTGGATGTCACAGCCTGGATGGATGGACAATGAGATGGGTAAAAAACTGGCTGGACAGTCAGGCTCAGAGGAGAGCGATTAAAGGATCACAGTCTGCCTGGAGGTGGGGAGCAAGCGGAGTGCCACAGGGCTCTTGCAAAGACCTTTGGCAGAGACCTGGAGGAGGTGACACCACACTTCCATCAAGTCTGCAATACCACTAAGCTGGGAGACCCAGCCCGCACACAGAATGGCAGGGCTGGCGTCTCGAAGGACCTCGTGACGTCCATTCCCTGCAGGAATGTTACAAAACAAGAACCAACGTGAAGTCCAGCATCTGGGAAGAACCACTCCCGTGCATCAGTCCAAGCCACCTGGAAAGCAGCCCTGTGAAAGAGGACCCAGGAATCCCAGCAGACGTCGAGCTGAGCATCAGGCATGGCGTGCCCTGGCAGCAAAGAGGGGCACCAGCATCCCACACTGCATGAACAGGAATATGGACAGCAGATCCATCCCAGTGACTGCCTCTCCATGTGGTGCTTGTTATACTGCTGCACCTGGAATGCTGCACCCAGTGTTAGCCCCCCAATACAAGACAGAAAGGCTTCATCACAAAATAAAGAGTCTATGGTTATCGTGACGTGACTAACCGTATTATCGAGTCTGAATGAAGGTCCAGTGTGCCTGGTAACTCCATCCCCCATTTCAGCAGCGGGAACTGGCGAATCTTGAGACACTTGAGAATCCTGGGACTGGCCTGACCACAAATGTAACAGAAGCAATAAGGAACAGAAAGCAAATTTGAGTTCATAGCTAGCAGTTCTTTTGCACACCAGATGGCACTAACACTCTGCTGCTTCTGTCCTTGCTACTAGGGCACTGATTTTGCCCATTTTTACCTCTTTCTTCTCACCTACAACAGACTTTCTGCTCCACTACTCCACCAATCTAATTGGCAACCAGTGGTTCTCCTTGACCAGCCCTCCTACAGCTTCTCACCAGCATGACTGCTCCCTGCAGGGCACACAGGAGGAGCTAGGAGAGCATGCAGAAGGAATCAGGGCTTGGCTCACATTACTACAGTCATTCAGCTGGGGCAGAGGAAATCTTTTTCACTCTACCACTAAAATGCTTATAAAGAAAAGCAGACATTCAGAGTAGATCAATCAGAAGCACTGAATTACTTAACTACAGCATGACTACTACTGCAGAATGGCATCACCTTTCATAGAATCACAGAATGGTTTGGGTTGGAAGGGACCTTAAAGCCCATCTAGTCCCACCCCCCCTGCCATGGGCAGGGACCCCTTCCACTAGAGCAGGTTGCTCAAAGCCTCATCCAGCCTGGCCTTGAACACTTCCAGGGATGGGGCATCCACAGCTTCTCTGGGCAACCTGTGCCAGTGCCTCACCACCCTCTCAGGGAAGAACTTCTTCCTGATATCCAATCTAAACCTCCCCACTTTCAATTTAACCCCATTACCCCTTGTCCTGTCACTACAGGCCCTTGTAAAAAGTCCCCCCCAGCTTCCTTGTAGCCCCTTCAGGTACTGGAAGGCTGCAATAAGGTCTCCCCAGAGCCTTCTCTTCTCCAGGCTGAAGAAGCCCAACTCTCCAATTCTTTGCCGTAACGCTCTCACGCCTAGAGATTAGATCAGTGTCTGTGCAAAAGCAGCAGCAGAGCGGCACCAGAAAAACACAATTTCTGCATCTGGAGCTGACAAGCACCTTCAAAGTCCGTCAGTTCTAGGACTGTAAGTTAATTGCCAACAAACAGCTCTAAAATAGGCATTCTTGTTTCCAGAAAGAAACGCTGAATATCAAACTGCAATGAAACAGCAGACAGGAAGTAGGTGTGCTTTCTCCAAGTTCTACCAAGGCTGCTAGAGAGACATTTCAAATCCCCAGCATTTCTAAGACTCTATACATAGGGAGATTTTATAACATTTTGAGAATCCTAACACTGTTTGTATCTTGTATATACTGAAACTCAATTTTTTACTGAAATGTGGAGTCCAGTTGTTCCATTTTTCCTACAATACACAGGGGAAGGTTTCCTCTGTGAGACGCCACTAGTGAAGTATCTGTATGATGTGATACTTATGGACCTCAAACAATATGAGACATTATGAAACTCATTTTAGGGAGGGGAAGAATAAATCTAAGGTTTCCTATAGCCACTATCATCCAGTACTGTGCTAGGAGAAAGTACAAGACATGAACGGAAATATATCTAAAATATATTTACTTGGATTAAAAGCAAAATTAACTTATTCTTAATTAATTTACTATGTTACTGCATTAAATGCTGAGTGATCTCAAAATAAAGGGTAAAGAAATTTTCAAATGGCTTCTCTTCTCCCCGCCAACCCCCCTGTCACAAAATCTCCAGAACCTTCTAGCAAGCTTCATCCTGATTATTTATGTTATTTTTGACTGGTAACTGAACACAGCCATTGGCAGTAGAGTGCAAATGACATGAAGAGTGGAAGAACAGTAACAAAACACAGTAGCACTGCAATGATAAAAATTACCACAACCTCCTGCAAAGCTGGGTCTGTTAATCACCATAGTCCACTACATGTAAAATTATAAATCTAAGAGCACAGAGCACTGGCTTCCAATCCCTTTACTGTAAGTATGTAACAAAGGCCTTCAGGTTCACAGGAAAAATAACTTTAAAGATTTGAGTAGAACAAGAGTGCAACAAGGTCCTTGTCTGGCTGTGGCAGCAGTGTGACAGTCTGGACAGACCACAGAAGTCTGCTCTTCTTTGGAGCAAAGGAAATAGAGGATCCTGACAATGAGCAAGCCCTCGAAGAAAATTCCATGAATCAGCAGGA